TAGAGATCTTATCATCAATTACAAGAATAATATTAAAATAAATTAGAGAGATGAATAAAAAAAAACTATGCAAAGTATTCAATTTATAGAAAAAAACGTACTAATAATTCATACTTTGAAAATAGAAATCAAATATCTTTATATGGGTAATAAATGTTACTATATTTAGTTATATATATGTGGCCTTATCATGAATGAATGATTGCCATATGCTTTCTTTTTCTATGCGTACTACTCTAAAGTAAAGCTTATAATAAAATAAGATCATAAATCAAAAGAAACAATATAAGTTTCGAAAATTTTGTTGAAACAAAAAATAATAAAAAAGGTAAAAGATTGTCTTTTAAGAAAATTTTCTACTCGTAACTTATTTTTTTTTACGTTTGTTTGTCACTTGTTTAATATATTCTATATTTGTTTAAATACAATCATTCATAAGTACAAACAGGTATTCCAAAAAGAACGAGCCTATCTGTATTTTAATGATGTCTCTTTCAATATCTCTTATTTTAGGTTTTACTTTGTTTCTGAAAGATTTGCCTTTTAGTTCTCTACTAAATAGTATAATTCTTTGTTATGTAAATGACATCCGTAATTTTGTGAAACATGCATCAAACAAACAGTTGGACATGAACAAATTCGTAATACAAAATTTTATCAAATTATTTTGACCGTATCATATGAAATCTGAACAATATGGCAATCAATAGTTCATGACGATGCAAGAGAACAAGTTATTTTCACATTAATGTTGTATGAGTTGATAGATCGAAAGCTTCACACTGTTGCCTGCTGCAATATTCGATCGGATGTTAATATCATGTTCGACCAAGTAACACTAAATGATACTCAATACTACTAAGATGTAGAAACAAGGTCTTCAAAACAGATCGGACATTTCAGCAGACAGCAATGCGAAGCTGCAGATCCATCAAGTCATACAACATTGGTATCAAGAACCGTTAATTGCTGTTTAGTGCAGATTTAAATCTATTGAAGCATTTACATTTAATTTGAGGCAAATTTTTTGATATCTACAATTATGTGGAAAAAAAGATGTCATATAAAAATTGTATGATGATATCAAAATAATTTGATAAAAATCTGTTTTTACAACACTATTAACGTTCGACTGTTTGTGTAATGCGTGTCTTGTAAAATTATTACGGATGTTATTTACGCTAACAAAAATTATGCTGTTTTATAGAGAATTAAGAGGCGATCCCATACGAAGAAAGTAAAGCCTAAAAAAGTAGATACCAAAAGAGATATTATTAAAATACAGACAGGTATATTCTTCCTAGGACGTCTATTAAAAAAAGATAAATAATTATATCTAAATTTGTTCGTTTCACAAGAACAAACTCATTCTAACTCAAGCAGACAAGAATCTTTGAAAAACTGTTGTACAAACATCCTAATCGCTCACTTTCCATTTGATTATTTTTTTACATCAATTCAGAAAAACATAAAAGTCAGGTACGTTCATCATAAACGATACATAAAGACGCTTAAAAAAGGCAATTTTCGCATCTGTAAACCGTACCAAAATTATTTTCCGTAATATTTTGACATTTTTTGTAAATAAAAATGACTTTTTTTTATGCATAGTGTATGTCAAAATACAATGAGACAACGATTTGAATGTTATCTAGATGTAAAAATTACTTATTTTAAGCATCTTCATGCACATTTTATGCTGAAATTAGCTAGTTATTATATTTTCTGATTGAACCATAAAAACGCTCAGACGAGAACCACGTGATTAGAATGTTTAAATACGTTTTGCAGAAATTATTCTGTGTTTAAGAAGGTTGAAAACGCTACCAGATCGTTTCGATAATTGACGTAATGAACAAAATACACAATACTGACACCAAAAGTAATTAAAACAACTCTAAAAAATCTTTTAGTATGTATGAAGAATTTCAATGTTAGTTGTCTCTCTGCTATTGCAATGAAATCATAGAATTTCTATTTAATAGCAAAGAAAAGTTAAGATTAGATATATAAAATTATGTCTCTATTCAAGTTCATGTGAAGTAAATGGTGCCTACCTCAAACAAAAATAATAGATTTCATTATCCATTAGTTGAGCATTCTCATTAGTTACAAGAATATGGAATAATATAAAATATGTTGATAGTAAATTTCTATTCATTATATTATTTTAAAAAGCTTTTTCTATTACATAAAAGCCAATAAAATAAAACATCAACAATAAATGTAATCTTGTTAAACAATAGTTCGATATAAATTTTACTATTATATCATTTGAAATAGATTCATTTTTATTGTTTAAATGATCCATAAATAGCATTACGATAAAAAAAATGAGATATTTCCACTTCAGTTCAATCAAATGAGCTTATTTTTAGATTCGTGATAGAAGTCTATTCAAAGCTATTTTGTTCTAAACATACGAAACCGGTAAGGAAATACTACTATTAAGTATTATTCTTGTTATCATGAAAGCAATTTTACATGTTTTGAAGTAAGAAAAAAAATACATATGAAGCGGTTTTAGAGATAGATTTCACTTTTTATTTAACAGAATAATAAGAAGGAATCAAAAACAACTTTACAAAAAGCTTCACATCGATGTATATAGAGTAAATTTTCAGAACTAATTTGTTTCAAAAACAACAATAACAAACTTTTGTCCAATATGAAACACTGACTTTTGCAAAGAAGTTAGTGCTCAATGAGTTGTGAGTCGTGAGTTTTACTTATGAGTCAAGAATTTCAGCATTTTAAACTGACTACAACTTTGAAAACTTGCTCTGTATACATTAATATACTTCATTTTGATTTTTTCTTATTATTTTCTTCGATAAAAACTGAAAACTATCTATGAAACTCTTCATATATGTTTTTTTCTTACTTGACAATACAGGATATCTCATAAGCTCTGAACACTAACGAATATTAGTTTATATGTAAAAAACTAGTGATCACACCAACAGAAGAAACATGACAAGTAAAATGTTGAAATCGATCTGTATTTTTCAAAAAAAATTTTAATGAATTATGAATTTTTCGTATGTAACGTAGCACAATTATACATAACGATACGTAGTACCTAGGATGTGAGTGTAGGTGTACTCTATATCCACAACCTAATTATCACGTTTCTTGTGTTTATATTAGTATTATTAAAAGACATAATGCCATTTAAAATATCGTCCTAAGTACTCAAAGTTTATATAGATATAATTGGAAGGGATCATTCTTTATTTACATATAAACTGATTTTTGTTGAGACTTAGAACTTATGGAACATTCTCGTTAGGTAAAATTTCCTTGATGAGAGCAATTTCTACTTACGTTTGTCCGTATGAAAAAAATAAAAGCTTAAAATAAACTGTTACCTGTAACCAAATAATCCGCTCATTGGAGCGAATCGAAGCGAACATATTTTTATTTTTTATTGCAGTATTATTTATGGCCTATTGTGTACAGTAAAAATCTTCAATAGAGAATATTGAGATCGAAGTGATTAAAATAAACATCTAAATGAGATTGATAACTGACGATAAGACTGAAAAAGAAGAATGAAATTGTCTCGTATTTTGATAAATATTTCATGCTGTTATTTGATCTAGGCATAGAAAATAGCAGAATTATTTTAAAAAAAGTAAATCTTTTCTTAACTCGTTTATTCGTTTATGTTTTTCAAATAACAAAAAAACTCGTAGACAATCAATTATTGACAATAATTCTTTTAAATCTAGTTCATTTAGAACAAGAACCAAATAAAAACCGAAAGGTGTTACAGAGATATCAAATTTCTTATAATTCCTTTTATACTTTAAAATTCAGTTTACAATTACTGAGAATCGAATATTTTAAAATTTTACAGAATGTCAGGTTACAAAATAAATAACGATTGTACTAGGTAATATAAACTATTTGACTCTATTTTCGTCTCGTAATCATCTGTCAAGCCCGTATCATTTTCTTCTCGTCAAACTACAGAACGAAATAAATGATTCAGCTTTCTCTTTTTTTTCTCATCATACTTTGCGCATTATAGCTTCAGTCATTAAAAAAAAAGAACAAATATTTTTCCCATTATTTTAGTTTTTATATGAAAACGTTGACATGATTTTATTGACATGTCTAGTTTTATGTATCTGCTGTCACTACTTGAAGTCACATATCGATAAAAATAACTCATCTTCACGTTTTGCATCATTAGTTTGAATAATATATACCAGAATAGTTAAAAGATCAAAAACAAACTATTGCCCTTAAAAAACTTCGATTCATTTTTCTTCTAAAATAACTTTCGATACTTGTCTATTCCTATTACTGTGTCATACATCACGTCGAAATATTTTTGTAATTATTTACCACAAAATCTATCGTTAACTTTTATCAACCTTCTTGTTGTTATTTACGTCATCAATCACTGATTTTTTTCTTTTTTTTTGTATATGTTATTTTGTTCTCCGTTATACACTTACATAATATATATATATATAGTCACAAATACTTTTGCTTGTTAGCTGCTTAAATCTGTGAAGCATATACTTGACAAGAGAAAAAAAAGATGACAGCTTTGAGATTTATCTATAAGATAAGATAAGATAAAATATGAGGGTAGATAGGAAATATTTAAAAGATGTGTAGAAGAAAAATATATTTAATGATTTCCGAAGTTCATTTATAAAATACATCAGAGATCAAATATATATATATATATATATTATACGCAATAGTCTTTATATGAGTTCGAATAAAATATCTTTTAAGATCATTTTCTTTTAGGCCTTGACTTGAGTAAGAATATTATGAGAACGAAAAAAACAAGACAAAGCATATAAAAAAGAAACACAATGTCGTTTGATCTTGTATTATGATTTATTTATTCGTAGGATTATGTTAACTTTGTTTTTTTGTTTTTTATATAAAATCTCTTTTTTTTTTATTTAAATAATATTCATCAATTATATTTTTCTTTATTTAATAGATTTTAATTCTCAAATATAATCATTATGTTCATATTATTTACTAGCATTTTATTTCTATTGATTCATCATGGACAATGTGCCATGGAAGCTACAGCTGATGTTCGATTACATGGTACATCAACATCAATTGGAATATTGAACTTTGTTCAAAATGATGCTAATTCACCTGTACGAATAACTGGTACACTAACATCATTGAGTGCTAGTAGCAATCATGTATGTTTAATAAAATTTATAATGAAGAAAATTTTTTTTGATACAAATTCTTTTTTCCAAGGGTTTTCATGTTCATACCAATGCTGTAGCAGAAACTACACCGAATTGTGTGGAAGCTGCTGGCCATTTTAATCCTTACAGTATAGAATTTTTTATATTGTAATATTAAAATTTAAAAAAAAAATGAAAATATTTAGATACGGCTCATGGCCCTCCTCAAACCGATATATGGCACCGACATGTTGGTGATCTTGGAAATATAACAACGGATGCAAGTGGTGCAGCACATATTGATATTAGTGATAATATTATTCAATTTTATAATTCCACACAATCAATTGCTAATCGAACTATTATAGTACATCTTATGTTTGATGACGGTGGCTTCGGTATGAATGAGAGTAATATAACTGGGTATGTTAGTACACTTTAAAAAAAGAATATATTTTTTCATTGATTTTATTTGTTTTTGAAATAGAAATGCTGGTGCACGAGTTGCTTGTGGTCTTATTAAAGTAAAATCAAATGGAATAAATATTAAACCAATTACATCTATGTTATTTTTTACAATAATGATTATTGTTATGATACGCTTCGAGTGACATATAAACTTGACTTTGTTCTTTTTTTTGTCTAGACATTAATTAAATATTCCCGAAAAAACTCATCATTTTACTTTTTCTATTCTTGCATTTAGTTGATTCTCTTTTTCTTTTTTTGAATACTTTTTTTTTCTTTTTCATTTATTAAAATCTTGAAACAGTTGGATTTATGTGTATCAAAATGAATAATAAATAAATTGCTTTTTTCTGTGAGTTAATCAATGTAGTATCAAAATTCTTTCAAAGTATTCAAATAATGTTATTTGATTTATTTGAATATAAACACATGTTTTTATTTTTTATTTTTCAATGGTCTATTCTAGTGTAGAATGCGAGGTTTTATATATTAATTGAACAATATTGATATAATAAGTTTTCACATTATTCGATCAAGTTTATTTTCAAATTATTTTATTTGCACTTCTACAAACACTAATAAAGATCCAAATAATAATTTGTGTTAAGAATTTTATGTCGATCTAGAATTTTTCCAGATAAAACATTCTTGCTAGCTTGCCAAAGATAGAATTTCTGAAATATAGAAAACTAAGATTTTCATCTCATGGAATTCGTAAAATAGAATTCTGTTTGAATTACTCAGAACGATAGAGAAAACAGGAAATGAAACTTTTTTCTGATCTTATGAAAGAGACAAAAATAGTTCTGTGAAACTCGTATGTCTTTCACAGGAAATAGTCAATGTCAGTATCAAGCCAAAGCTTTGCTGCTCTTCATCCCTTTCCCTCTCCATTTAAGAGTTTAGCAACCAGGATTACAGACGCTGAACGACATTAATTAAAAAGCTTAGAAAGCTCTAGAACGTTACAGAACCTTCTTTGAAATTTACATGACTGAAACCAATTTTTCAATATTCTAAATGATGTAGCTTCTAATTTTTTGCACAGAAAAACGATTATATGATAGATATCAAATATAATATTTTGATTTCCTACAACTGTCACACGATCAACATGAAAACATGAATTGATGAAGTTTTAACTTTCAGGAATAATCAAACTCCGTGTTTCTGACTCATTTAGACACATAATAAATCATTCAAATTTGCTCTAGATATAACAAATGTGTAAAGTAGACTTATTTGCCTAATAAATCAATAATTGAATCAATAATAATAAATTATAAAAATGAAATAAAAAGAACAATTAAATATCAATCAATGAGCAATAAGACAAATAGAAAAAGAATGGCAGTCAAAAAAACTTTCTGTTCGGAATGCAGAAATAAAGAAGACATAGCGTTTGCTGATAATATAATTATCATTAGAATAGAAAACTCATCTTTTAGAGGTTTACATTTTGCGTATTTTGTATTAGTATAATGAAGTTAAAGAAGACATGTGAGTTCCATATGTCACTCCTAAATGAGCTCTACTAACAAACTTCTTTCTGTTGTATCGTATAGAAATATCATTTTGTGCTTTCCGTAAGATTAATGTATATTGGTCAAGAAATGTCTTACAAAGCAAGAAGACGTTTCATTTTCTGTCTACTCTAGCTAATTCAAATAGAATTGTGCCAGCGAATGCTAGGAGATGATAACCATGGCTTCTAGCTTTCCAGAGACTTTACCTTTAGAAAACTAACAATCATTTTCATCTGCAAAAAATTCTGTTGGAAATGAAACTATTTTCATAAATCACTATTTAAATTCTTATTAGTGTTTATGGCAACGGAAAAAAATTGAAATAAACAAGATTGAATAAATTTAGCAACCATTGTATTGTATCGAAATGTTTACAGAAGTTTTATTCAATCATACAAAAAGATCTTAAAAATCATGTATAGACTTTTAGAGTATGTCGATCTCTGTTAATATTTGAATCAAATTAAGAATAAAATGATTAATTATTTATTTAAATAATAAATATCCAAAACGTTCAAAATGAAAAATAATATCACATGATCAATAGTTAGTCATAGAAGAATTTAACTATGAATAATCCCATCACCGAACGAATCAATGAACAAATCAATATAATAGACCAGATCGAATTTTAACGGCAAGAATGAAATAAGGCAAGAAAGAAAAAAAGAACGCAAAAATACATATGATCCAAACTTGATCTATCATCGAATGAAAAGACTATCGATATGTATTTAATTCATATGTACATATCCTTCTATAAGTATAGCTTTGTTTAAACTTTCAATGTATTGAATAAGAGTCTTTTTATGTAGAAGATAAATTTTGAATTTTTCTTTTTCTTTTTCTTTTCAGAAAATTTTGTTTTTCTAAAGATGATCAATAATAATAATAATAATGATGATAACTTTGATGATATTGATTTGGATGAAATTTTTAATGATTTTAATGAAAAACAATCATCTATTCAACGACAACCATTAGCGAAATATGATTTAAAGTAAGTTAATTATTTAAACTCAAGAAAAATATTTATTATTTATATATATATAAATTAGTCATAAAACAAATCAAGATGATTTGTTTGAATTTAATGAAAAAGATTGTACAGCACCCAAAATAAATCGAAAACGAACAAAAACAATTAGAAAAATTCATGCTAAACAAATGACTATGTATGATTATGCTTCTAGTGTATCATATAAACATAAACAATTTTATTCATCATTGGATAATACAACAACAACAAAAACAATTATCAAAGGACAAAAACGTTCATTAACAGTAATATAGAATTAAATTTATTCAACAAGTTTTTTTTTTACTATTTATTTTTTTTATATAAAGGAATATCCAGCATTATCACCGATTTCAAAAAAAACGAAAACAACTGAATTTGATAATTTATCATCATCATCAACACCACCAGATTTTATTGATAGTCTTTTACGATATCTTGATGAACGTAGTCGTCAGAAAACAGAACATTCAATTAAAGAAGAAAAACCATTAAACAATGATGAGATAAAAACAAAAGAAAACTAAGAATTTGTTTTTAGAATTTTAAAATTATTGAAATTTTATTTGGTTTTGATAGATATTATTTATTGATTTTATTTTATTTTTTGTCTAGGTGTGTCTTTTTCCACTCCATTGTAAATTATTAGATAAACGAGATATTCAAAGAAAGCATTTTTTTTCTTTAATAAATCAGATTAAGAATGAAATCAGATGTTAACGTAACATTAGAAAGGTTTGCTTTCGATTAGATAATTAACAATACAATTTGATACTTGAAGTGCAACTATCTTATTAAGAATATTGATGGATTTTTTAGTTGAAAGTTTCAAAAAAAAAAGCTGTTAGCGCTATCTCTGCAGGTTTAAAATGTCAGAAAAAGAATACAGTTGCTGTTGCTAATCACAGGAAGATTGTTTTGTTCTGTGTTTTGGGATACCTTCGCTCGGCATTATTTTACGTAATTCTTCAGAACTGAAATAAGGAAGTAGTTTATACATTATAATGAGTCTTTGTTGATGTATGATCTTTAATCGAATATCAACAAGATCCGTTACAGGCTGTAACGTTTCTGTAGTTGTATCTATCATGTTTGTAAGTGGTCCAAATTTCAACTTCTGTAATTCAACACTTCTTTTAGATTGTGTTTCTCAAAACCCATATAGGACATTTTCAAAATAGTTAATTCATTAGGGGCTAATCCGTAAAAGATATACAGATGAAAACTGTATGTTTTTGTTGCTTTATGACGGCACAGTGTGCTGGGACTTTTATTATTTTTGTATTTCTTCGCTTGTTTCGTGTCTTTTTCATGATTAGAAATGTGCTGGGGCTAATTTTTTTGGTCGCAGTCCCGATTTTAGCTTCAGTTCATCTGGTCTAGTCATACTACTGATCTGCAGAAAAGTATTCCAGAATGTATTCGTATCATATCTAAAAAGTTCTTCAATGCTCTTTTTTTTATAATTATTTAGTCGATGATTAACACGTTTTAGGGTCATCTCGGTTGAATTATGTTGACATTTTTTCGCTCTGTGCTCGTTTTTCTGGTAATCTTGGTTTTATCTATTGGTGCTCCACATAACGAAACTTGAATGCTTGTAAATGTGTGAATTGTATAGAATTATTGGATATGATATCATGGTCATAGAGCATACGTTTCTATTATGAATGTATTTGTCTATCTCCATATTCTATATCATTGAGAGAGCATTTATTCTATTTATTGATATTAATTATCTGGCAGGTCGTTCTCATTCCTAGTATCCGATTTCGATTAACCCCATCCCTTCTGGATATTAAAATTAAAAATTTTATTCATAAAGAGCCTATTTGTCCAAATACACTTATAAGTAGAGAACGCATCATAGAATTCTGAGATGTTGCCCTTTTGAAAATACTCTTCAAAATCAATTAAAATTGAAAGTTTTGCAATAAATGCTTCACCAACGACAAAAACTTTTGTAATAAGTGATCACCTGTGTTGTGATTCCTGTGAAGAAATGGTCACATATTGCTGATCCAGTCTTCTTTTTTTCTGAACATCTTTTACAAGTGTCCTCTTACGATATTTAAAATCGATTTATTCTACTTAAACTTCCGATCTAGGGCATAAAAATTTTCTTTTTATCTATTTGAATGTGTAACTCATAGAAATGGTCAACAAACAATACAAATAACAAAAATATCGTATAGAAATATTTAGTTAAGTGATAATATGGTGCATAGTATGTCTCACACAATGCACGATTATCTACATATAAAAAGATTTTGTGTCAAAAAATTCATCAATTGAAATGTTGAAACAATATAGAAACTTTTCAATATTTTCAATTAAAAATATGAAACAATGAATTTAAAATGAGAACTGTGCTATATTGTATCTGAAAACTTCTTTGAACCGACAAAACAATCGTAACGGATAATCGTTTCAAAAAAAAAGAGATCAAAATAAAAGTTGCTAATATATAATTTGAAAAATATTTAAGAATCTCAGTTGTTGTTTATCACTAGTGAAGCAATCTTTGAAAAGCTTCAAAAAGTTAGTTCGCACGAAGAGTTTTTGTATTTTCACCATACATTTGAAGCTTTTTTTTAATCATTCGATCTAGTACTTCAATGTTCTTTTTTTCGTAAATACTCATTTTTGAAAAATCAACAACTGTTTCACATTGAGACGAGCTCTTGAAGAAAATGTTCTGAGCATCACATGGGTAAACACTGCAGCTTAGTTCCATATTACATTTTGTAAAGAAGGGTGTTCGCTCATATTAAAAGTAATTTTTGAGATCTTTCAAAAAGTTCTTCACGAGTCTTAAACAAAAATAGACACAACATTTCTAAGGCCATATTAAAAAAAACACAAAGTCATAGTTTTCAACTCGTCAAAAATACTTTCCAGTGAATCACTTGTTACTGCTACAGACCAAACATTTCAGCATTGTATATATAAGAGTACAAATAATAAATACACGACATTATCATCTTATATTTTGTATCATGGTCTAAGCAACAATTGTAACTCATTGATTTCATTACGTTCCAATCTATCACAACGATTCGCTTAACTCTTGATTCATTTTATTTAAAAATAAATTCAATTTTTATTCTTCAATTTTATTTCTCTCTATTTTTCACATTGAATTCTTCAAATCAATATTTTGTTCTTTTATTCAAGATAGTTCATGTACCATTAATTTAGTCCGTTTTTTTTTGTGATCTTTCCTTTATATAAACATCGATCGTACCGTACATATATCGTCTATAATGACGTAGAAAAATAGAGTTGAAGGTCAAGATAGAAAAAACAAAGAACCATACAACAACAGTAAGCATCACATAAGTAGAAAGAATAAATCAAAAAAAAAAAGAAAACCATCGATCGATATTTTGTTTTCTTTGTTAACAAAAGAAAAAAAAAGAAGAAGCATAAACTGAAATCAATACATTTAAGCTGGCTTTTTTGTGCTTTAAAGCACAAACACACATATATCTTATCTTTTCTTTTTTCAATGATATATTACGACAATGCAACAAGAAAAAAGGACACAGAATGTCAACAATATTCAATGAAAAAAGAAAAGTTCAGGAATAAAGTAAAAAGATCGAGGTTGACTATATATATATGCAGAACAAAAAAAGAAAAAGAAAACTAATAAACATTTACATGGACAAAAAATACGAGATACTGATGACGAGAAGAAGAATTGTATATTTATTGTTTCTTCTTATAATTAATACAGATTTATATACAGTTCAATGTATTAATATTACTGAGACATATTTCTATAAAAAGAAGAAAGAAAAATTTAATAAATATATAAAAAAATTAAAATTTTTACTTTTGTTACCAATTTTTGACTATTGTGAAGACGGTGAATTAGCTTCAATATTTCCATTCTCTTCTTCTTCATCGTTATCTTCATCTTGTTCTATATCACTTTCGTCATCATTTAAATTTGCTAGTATTTGTTCTTCATCTGATAATGCCGATGATGATGATGATGATGATGATGATGATGATTTTGCGATACGTACTCTTCGACGTGCTGGACGTCGAATATCATAATCATCATCTGATTTATTATCATTTGTTGATGATGGACTTAATATACGTGTACGTTTTGAACGTCGTTGATTTCGTGTTTCTTCTTCATAATCACTTTCATCATCATTTTCGATTTCTTCTTGTTCATGTTCATATTCATATTCATCTTCATCTTCATCAATTTCACGATAATTTTTACGTACAGCTATTTAAATAGAAAAGCAAAAGAATATTTTGCATACTTGAAATACGATTTGTTTATAAAATTTTGAAATGAATTTGTACTCAAGAGAACAATGTTTAGTAGTCAAATTAGAAAACATTCGGATTATATATAATATGTAATGCAAATGCTTTTACAAAGATATTTAACGCTGTTTGATCATATTATCGAAATCTAAACTAATCAAATTATTTTTGCCGGAAAGAACAATGTTTGCTAAATTATAAATTTTTGTAGCATACATAGTTCTTCAGAACGAACCTAAGAAAGACGAAAAGCAAGCTAGATGGACGAACTTTTAATTGAAAAAAAAAACAAGAACATGTTGCGCATCAGAAATCTTATCGATATTAGCTTGAAGCAAAATATTCTGTATACACCTAAAAACGATAATTACAATCGCCAAAAATGGTACTGTTTAATGTCATCGTATACAATGTTGCGGTCATGTGGTAGGCACAGTATTACGATTGTGTTTTATCGTGCTGTATACAGTTGACAATGATCAGAATATTGAATATCCAATCATTGACAATACAATAAAATACGGCTGTAACACTGCATCTAGCAAGTCATCTAAAATAGCATCGTGCTCATTTGATCTGAGCATTCTAGAATTTTTTTATAAAATAAAATCTTTTGTAAGAATATCAGCTGCTATCGACAACAAATTCAAAAAAGAAAATTTTCTTTATCATCGCAAAACGAAAAAATAGTGAGGACAAGCAAATTCATCAATCTCATTCAGAAAAAGCGATATTATTTTTGTATAACAAAGAAGAATAAATTTAAGTTTTGGTATACTATCGAAAAGAGTAATAAAAATCATTAATAAACATGTTTTGTTAGAAAATAAATTCGTAGACATTAGAAAATGATGTTGTTCGATAGTGAAATTCTACGAATTTTTCTAGAAATCTTCGGTTTTTAGTTTCTTTTCTTGCTCATATTTGTTTTAGAAAAAAATTTTGATTAGTTTAGAAGTTGATAATATGATCTAACGACATTTGACATTATTGTAAAGTCTTAGACATCACACACTCTATTATTAATTTTAATCATACATTAATTAAGAAGTCGAATAGTCTTTAGTTTCATAAATTGAAATTGATAATGTTTATGATTTTTATTTTGAAATATCCGTTGAGATTTATGTTAATAGAAGCTTATTTGAACTTTTTTTTTGCAGAATTAATGTGTCTAACGATTTCTTAAATATATTAAGATCTTGAGAATAATTAAATGCAACAAGAAGAT